AGCCTCGGGTGGGGCAGCAATGGCCATTCCAGTCTCCCTTATCTTTGCCAGCAATGCTGTCTGCTTAGAATACAAGCCGCTTTGCAGCTGCTAGTGGGGCTCGAGAATGAGCCCCGAGGCAGAGTGAGACGAGTGAGTTCCGTTAGCAGTCGCTAAACGTTAGTCAACACATGTGAGGTGTTTTTTGTTAGATCGTTACGTGGAACTACCGCTGGCCTACTTGGCTCTTCGCAGCCGTCAGAAATATAATGTCCAGGTCGGACTAGACGGAACGTCGCTACGTGACGCTACTTTATGACGACAGAGTAACCAACTTTTGCCTGGCCGACTCCAACGGATTTGTCGCGCTAAAGCGGACAACAGCCGTTTCTACCGAGTCATTAGTTGAACTCAGCCGGCCCTAACTTACCAATTGTCTAAATGTCAATTCTTTTATTTTACCGTTTGACACTGGTAGTGTTTATTGGTATTTTGTTCACACAAGCGCGTGTAGTTCCTCCGTTCTTATAGATAATAGGCACCATTCATCATTATTACTGGTTTCTGTTCTATTTTCACAATTTTCCGCCTATGTACCCTAACCGCATTTCACTCATGCTCACATCCCCAGTCATCACGCCATGGATACTCGTTTGAGTTCGATTCAGTTTTATTACGGAAAGAATAGGCCGACGCTTTTGTATCCTGTGTTTGTCAAGAAAGTGTTTATAAATTTCGTGTGTATATCAAGAATATCAATAAGGGGATTGTATAATTGCATGCAGTCTGAAACTTAAAATAAATAAAAACCGCAACTTGTACTCAATTATTGTAAGTAGCACTTTAATTACAATATTCTAGGATGTAGACATATATGTCGCGTAGTTGCTTGAATCTTTCACAATTTACTCCTTCTGGCCTTTCGCAGAAACCCAGCAAAGCCTCTTCATCTGCAACCTCTACAAAAGAAGCTAAACCACGCCAAAAGAAGACTGCCTCCTCATCTTCCAAGACGGCCTCCTCGTCTACTGATGCCCCCGCAAAGCCCCCAGCGAAAAGACGTGCAAAAAAACAACCCACAGACTAATGCGAGATATTAATAAGATTGATAAATATTGTTCTGTCTCCTCACCCCCCCCCCTCACAGTGTACCCAATTTGGTTATGGCATTTATTGATAAAGAGTCTCAGATTTATATGCTTTCCTATACGTTCACTTTCCTAGGTAAAATTGAAGTTGACTGTGTTTTACCTGTTCTTTTTAAAGCAATGGTTATAAACATTGGCCACTTTCTGATTCCATTTTGCTGTCTTTCGCTCTGCTGCCATATGCAGAGGAAAGGACTATTAGCCGTGAGGGAGAAAACCCTTGCTGCTGCGATCCTCGGG